ACATGCACGCACATAAATACGCACACATACACACATAGGCATACGCATACGAGAAAACGCCTTGGCAGTTTCCCGAACACGATGCTTGCGCTCAGGGGGTCGTACCACTCTTCCGAAGAAATGGGCCTGGTTGTAGGTCTGGCTGGCCTGTGGCCGCCGTCGCCGCCCGTCGCCCCGTCCTAGGTCACGTGTTTGAGTGTGCGAGGCTCGCAAGTTGCATTGTTTGTAGTGCATTGCATTGTGTTACATTGCTTTGGATTGATTTGCGTTACATTGCGTCGCTTCGCATTGTTTTGAATTGCGTCGCGCGCGTTGCATTGCACTGCCCTGCATTGCTTCACGTTGCATTGCATTGCGTTGCTCTGGTTTGACTTGATTTGAATTGCAGTGGATTGCATTGCGTTGCATTGCTTTGCAGTCATTTACAATTGTTTGCATCGCATGGATTGATTTGCAGTGCTTGGCAGTGCGTGGCATTGCGTTGCACTGCATTGATTGATTCACACTGGGTTGCGTTGCTGCGCACTGCTAACATTGTTTTACGTTGCATCGCAGTGCACTCGCAGTGTATCGTTTGCATCGCATTGCATTGCTTCGCATGCTTCGCATGGTTTTGCATAGCGTTGCATTGCTCTGCATCGCATTGTTGTGCATAACGTTTAATTGCGTTGCATTGTGTTGCATTGCATTGTTCTACGTTGCATCGCATTGTTTTGCAATGCGCTGCATTGGCTTGCATCGCTGTGCATTGCATTGTGTTGTTTTGCATTGCATTGTTTTGCATTGTAATCGCATGGAATTGTTTGCATCGCATTGCCTTGAGTTGCATTGCTTTGCATGGCTCCGCAGTGGTTCTGCATTGCGTTGCTTTGCAGTGCTTGGCATTGCTGTGCATTGCGTTGCATAGACTTGCATTCTTGCATTGCGTTGCATTGCACTGCGTTGCATCGCGTTGCCATCGCATTGCAGTGTTTTCATTGCATTGCATTGAATTGCATTGCATTGCTCTGCACTCCTTCACATTGCTTACATTGCGTCGCATTGGTTTGCATCGCGTTGAAATCGCGTTGCAGCGTTTGCATCGCATTGTATTGCTTTGCATTGCGTTGCACATCTGTGCTTTGCGTTGCTTTGCAGTCCGATGCGTTGCATTGCTTCGCAGTCGCATTACATTGCTTTGCATTGACTTGCATTTTGTTTGCGTTGTGCTGCGTCGCACCGCCTGCTGTACACTGACTTGTACCACATCGAGTGCACCACACGCATTGCACCACCTAGATTGCACCATTTGATCGCGCCGCCTAGCGTGCTCCACATATCTTGCAGGAAATCACTGTTTGGGATCCAGGCTGGCCAACATATTCTCCACAAGCATGACATCATTCGTCACCGTGCCCTGAGGCACGAGTTGAAGTGTCCTCAGGTCCTTGGCCTCATCCCTAAGGCCTCAGTCCTCAATCCTGGGGATTCTTTAAGGGGCCGGGATCGCGAGCAGTCAAATCTCTCGGGGCTTGCCGCGTGCTTCCAGGGGCCCGTCGCATCTTCCCGCACCCCAAGATGGGCCAAGAGGGCCCTAAGAGGCCCCCAAGACGGTCTACGAGAGCCCCGAATCGCCGAACGATCACTCCAAGACGCCCAAGATGGCCCGAAGACGGCTGAGGAGGCGTCCGAGACGCCCCAAGAGATGCCCAAGGGGCCTGCCAAGAGAGCCCCAAAGAGGCAAAACTTTGTCAAAATCGGTTGGATAACATACATCCTTAGCATATGCAACTGTTCGGCCTCACAGCGTTCCAGACGGCCCAGGAGGCCCCCAAGATCGCCCCAAGACGGCCCAGCGAGCCCCCGCCGGGCGCCCCCCGACGGCTCAAGCGAGCGCCAAGCGGCCAAGCGGGGCCCAGGAGGGGGAGCCCGAACCGGCAATCCGAGCTTTCCGCCCCAAGATACCCTCAGGAGGCCCCAAGGAGGCTCCCCAAAAGCCCCCCCAGACGCCCCAGGAGGTCCCAAAACGGTCCCCAGGGGGCCTCAAAACTGCCTCCAAGAGGCCCCCGACAGGCCTTCCACGACATCCCCACGAGCATCCAAGAGGCCTATGAGCCACAACCCAGGCA